CTTGCCTCCACCCTGGCTGAAGCAGCAGCTGCCACGCAGCAGTAGGTATCGGTTTGGACGCGCTGAATTCTCACTTCAGCGATCAAACAGCCCAGCTCAGCTTGGAAGGAGCTGGCGAATATTGCGCTAGGATCCCAGGTCCGGGGTACTTCACGCTTCGATTCTTGAGAAGGGCTGTTGCTTCGCGAGAGGTGTCTCTGTAAGGACATCTCCCTATGGGAGTATTGGCGAGTGCGCTTAATTGCTCGAGGGCATAGATGAGCATGTCGCCTGAGAGCACCGAGCCATTGGACCCAAGCTTGGCTGTGCGCTCGCGGCAAGCTTCAGCTTCAGACTGCTACCATTGGCACACACACCATGCTTACAGCCTTGTCGAATGCCTTGTCTTGCAGCGCTGCACTTCCCAGCCCTTGCGCGTAGGCAGTCGCGTGTTGGTGCAGTCTTGGTCATTTGCATTTGCTTCAGCTGGCTTCGCATCAGGAAAGCTCGCAGGAGGGTGCATGTTGGGTGCAACACCCGCGGCTTGAATTGAGAGAATGCAGCTCGGATGGCAGTGATTCGCAATGACCTTGCCATCCGCAAGTGGTGTTGCAGCCAAGCGACCTGGCTATGTCCAAGGCTTGGGGGGGCTTCAGCTGCGTGAGTTTGAAGCTAAGCTTTGTGGAGCATGCTAGCCAAACAGCTATCAAGGCTGAGACAGAATACCAACTCGATTTACTCATTTTCTCGGGCTGCTTGGAATGAGAGGGCGTCATGAGGATAATTTACCATGTTGCCTGGACTTGAGCAAGGCAAGAAGATGTTGGACTCGACACGCTTGGCGGCTTTTACCAGAGTTTCGCGACAAGACGCCTGGCCTGCGCGTTCGTTCACACCTTTTGAGATGGACGCTTGCCTTGCAGCAACCGCAGCGCCGCAACTTTCCAGCAGTTGTTCTGTCAAGGCTAGCACGGGTTGGGACTCAATTCAATGATGCAGTCTTGGTTTAGCATTTGCTTAGGGGCTGGCTTTACTTGCCAGAGGTTGCTTGGAATGGGATACCTGGACCCTCCTGCTGCACCGCTTTTTCTTCTTTTCGCACAAAGGCGGGCATTTATGCCGCTTGGCCGAAAAAGCAACGCTTTGTTCCAAAAGTGCCCGTTTATTATTTTGTGCAAGCCTGGTCGGGTACGTCGCTTTTTGGTCGCCTAAAGTCCCCGTTTCACACACAGCTATGGCTCAACATATCGGTGAAAAGGCGAAATGAGCTCTGAGGCACAAAGAAGCGACGTTTGCCCATAGAAGCAGTTTTCCTCAGCGGCTTTTCCCAGCCTTAGACGGCATCACGAAGAGCATCATGCTGTCCTGACTTGAGCAAAGCACATAGCGCTCGGAACCGGCTGGCTTGGCTGTTCCCAGAACTTCGGGGCAAGTTGCAGCTTGAGACAGCTGGTGTGGCTGGCAGCAACAGTACTGCTGGCCACATGACTGTTGGCTTGGGCATGTGCTCTCACCTTTCGCGCGTTTGATGCTTTGCCTCGCCGCATCTTCCAAATTCTGGCGCGGTGGAGGCGTTCTGACCAGTTTAAGCATCGCTTGCCTCGGTGGCTCTTGGAGCCAGATTGATTTTACGCTCTGCTTGTTCATGAGCACTGAGGAGCCTCCGAGCGAATTGGGAGCGCCAAATCAAAAGAGAGTCGGCACCTAGGTGGAGTTGGAGAATCGCCACACTGAGTAAATGACCACTGTTCAATGTTGCTTGACTTGAGCCAAGAACTCCGTGGCAAATTGCAGCTTGAGACAGCTGCTGTGGCTGGCAGACACAGTACTGCTGGCCACATTACTGCTGGCTCGGGCATGTGCTCGCACCTATTGCAGCACCGGCAGCGCCACACGCAAACTGTCCGACGTTTGACTTTCTGAGCATTTCGAGCCTCACTTGCCAAGGTGAAGCTAGCCGAAATGTGCTCATCCGACGCAAGCCGTGCCGTGCAAATGCCCCAAGCGCAAGCGCTGCTCGGATGGCAGTGATTCGCAATGACCTTGCCATCCGCAAGTGGTGTTGCAGCCAAGCGACCTGGCTATGTCCAAGGCTTGGGGGGGCTTCAGCTGCGTGAGTTTGAAGCTAAGCTTTGTGGAGCATGCTAGCCAAACAGCTATCAAGGCTGAGACAGAATACCAACTCGATTTGCTCATTTTCTCGGGCTGCTTGGAATGAGAGGGCGTCATGAGGATAATTTACCATGTTGCCTGGACTTGAGCAAGGCAAGAAGATGTTGGACTCGACACGCTTGGCGGCTTTTACCAGAGTTTCGCGACAAGACGCCTGGCCTGCGCGTTCGTTCACACCTTTTGAGATGGACGCTTGCCTTGCAAGCAACCGCAGCGCCGCAACTTTCCAGCAGTTGTTCTGTCAAGCGAGACAAGTGAGTGGAGTTGAAGCCAACTGGCTGTGTCCAGAGCTTTGTCAAATCCCAGCTGGGCGAGTTTGGTAAGCTTTGTGGATCCTGCCAGCAAAGCAGCTATCAAGGCTGAGACTCGCTTCATCGCTCGCACACCTTGGCTGCTTGGAATGCGGTTTGTGTTGGCTGCCGGGAGTAGCATTAGATGGCACGCTGAGGAGAATCACGTTGACTTGAGCAAATCACGGAGCAGTTGGACCCAACCGGCTTGGCTCTGCCCACAGCGTGGCAAGATTCAGCTATGGACTGCTGTTGGCAGACACAGTGGCCTTCGCTTGCGTTCACACCTTTTGGGCTGGACGTTTGCCTTCGACCGCAGCAACGCAGCTTCCCAGCCTGTAAGGCTTCAAGGCTAGCACGCGTACGCGTTGGGACTCAATTCAATGATGCAGTCAGGCAATGGGAAGCGCCTGGTTAACCACCAGCCGTAAAAGCCCCAAGATCAGGAAAAGCGGCTGGAGGGCATCATCGACGAAACAGCCCTGTAATGAAGCTGTGATGCCGATTTGGAGGGACTGGGCCCTAGCATTTAAGGCAAGGGCAGTAAGGGGGATTCAAATCCAAGGCTGATCCAGCAAGCCAGAACATGTCCCATTCCAAGCAACCTCTTGCGAACGAAGCCGATACGTTTCGATACTTCAAAATGTGCGATACCAATCGATTTTATTGACGTGTATTCCTTTGAATGTTCGGTATGCTTGCGATACAGCAACTTGGGGCGTTGAACCACATCTCCATAAAGGAATATACGCTCAAAAGCTGGTGTTCGGGCCTGTTGTGCGGCAGCTCCAGTTGCCACAGGCCGGCTGGTGAGGGGGGGGGGGGGGGGTGAACGCGTTTTGGGGTTTGCAAGGGAGTTAGGGTTGATTTCTGTTTTCGCTGCGTCTCTCAAGTGACCCCTAATTGGTGGTTTGGATTGGTGGTTTGGGGATTGGACCCCTTGTTCTTGTAGAAGGAAAACGGGAAACCGTCCCTAACCACCAAACCACCAACCCAAACCACCAATAAATGAGAAGGAAGCCGAGTCTCAGTTTCTGTTTCGGATGAATTGATATTCTGCTTGGGTGTTTGGCCAAGTTACTAAGTTGCTGGAACACCTCGGATATAACCCACTTGTGAGTCCCCTAAGTCGAGTTGCCCTTGCTATTAGCGGTTTGTAGTCCAGGTGGCTAACCACTTGCTAGCTTGGCCGAACACCCAAGTGGGAAGCTTTTAAAGACCTTGGCGGCACCTCCCTGTGCCAGGCCATTCTCCAGGCTGCCAACCTTCGGCGACCGACACGGCCACTAATATTTTTAGAAGCCAAGCCCGACCGAGACCGATACAAATCGGTCTGATTCACAGCACGGTTTTGCGAGAATCTTCGATAAGAATCTGAGGTTGCGATACTTGCCTTTCGATACCGATAGCCTGCAATACGAAGCGATACGATTCGGTATGTCGTATTTGTGTTGTTGAAACTGCGCTTGCTTCACAGCTAGTTAGACGGTTGCCAAAGCTGCCTCGCACGCCCCGCGACTCTGGTGCCCAGTGCTTCCAGTTACCTCCATGTGCGGAACCAGCTTGGCCCTTCGCCAACGGCCACGACTGGGGTGGTTAAAAGTACTGTGTCTCTCCACCGTGCTGTTGCCAGGAGCGGGGTTCTGCAAAGCCACACGGCACATTGACCTGCTTTCTTTGACGAACCTTTCATCGCCAGCTTTTCCGGTTGTCCCTCAGAGCGGCGTTCCCAGTAAATTGATAGCCTGCATTGATGCGCCACCCCGCCGCCGAAGATGCCGCGGCTGCGAAGGCTTTGATGACCAGATGTTTTCTTGCCTCAAACTCGGCGGACAATGAAGCTTGATTTGCGTGAATCGGAAAAGGGAAAACAAGCGAAATAGCGATTGAGCAGCGGAGGGAGTGAATGAATCAGAGAGGGAGCGGGTGCGCGAGGGAGGGAGTGAAGGAGTGAGGGAGTGAGGGAGTGAGGGAGTGAGGGAGTGAGGGAGTGAGGGAGTGAGGGAGTGAGGGAGTGAGGGAGTGAGCGAAGGAGCGAAGGAGCGAAGGAGTGAGTCTCCCGGCTTATCTGCAATCCAGAGCACCAGGAAGATCCTGTTTTGAGGGTGCCCCTTTTCAACTGGTTTTCAAGGAACATCCCAAAAAAAAGCACCCATGTTGGGGTCCCCCAAAAACCGCACACCCAGAGAAGCTGATTTGGGTCGTTTGTTTGGTTTGACGCATGTTGACAGATGAAACTGCGATGCCAACAGCTCAGCCCCATAGCCAAATTGGTACCCCTTTCAGGTTCTTTTGAAGGAGAACCAAAAGGACAACTGCAAGAACAGTTTGGGGGTTTATTGGGTGAATGCAGCAAAGAATCTCTTGCAGCGATCGAAGCGTTCAAACCTGCCTTGCCTACTTTGGGGTGGTGTCCTCGCCCCATCATCCCTTCCCAGGTCCTGAAAGGAGTGCAGGACCCATTTTTGTCAACTACCTTTGCTTGAACTTGATAATCTTGGACGTTATTCTGGACCCCATCACTCCTCTCCCCCCACAAGTTTTCCTGAGCTACTGTGGATGGAGCAATTCCTGCACCACCTAAGAAACCCTGGATGGCTCGACTCCCCAACGTAAATACCAGGAAACAATGGGTTCAACCATGGTTGCATTTCGGTGGTGCAATGTTGGGTTTCGCAATCATCCACAGTAGGTAAAAGAGAGCCCCACCCCCACCTGCTGACTTTGATCACCCAGCAGAGCCCGGTCAGCGGTTCTCAGAAGAGAATGAGGGAACCCCTACTTGGGTGTTCGGCCAAGCTAGCAAGTGGTTAGCCACCTGGGTTACCAACTAGCAAGGGTAACTCCATTTGGACTCACAAGTGGGTTATATCCGAGGTGTTCCAGCAACTTAGTAACTTGGCCGACTCAATGAAGTTCCCCAAGAAACGGGATCCGTCATTGCGTGAGGACCGCTCCGTGCGGGTCTGGGACCTCAACTCCCTGGCGATGCTGGCCAGCCTCGAGCAGGCGCCTTCGGCTCCGCTTTTGGGCCGAGACCAGCGGCTGGTGGCGGCTCCCAAAGTTTGACCCATTTTGGTTGGAATACCCGAAATGCGTGGAATATCACAACTTGGGCACAAATCCCCGAAGTCGGATGTCCACCATTTTCGGGCCCCCTGAATTCACTTTGAAATGTGCTGCAGCCAAGTACGTTGGTTCTTTGGTTGGGATGGCCCATTTAGAAGACCCCGGGCTTCAAAGCCAACCAATTACGAAGGAATCGGTGACCCGAAACTGGTCCAGTATACGGAAGCCAAAAGGTCGTTAAGCAGTGGTTGAAGTTTATGAAGGGGTTTGCACAAGGGTTAGGGTTCAGGGAAAAACGTCCCACCCAAGATCTCCAGCGATGCCCTTTTCTGTTTTGTTTGGAATCTATGTGGTATATATGTATACATAGATACATATACGTGTGTATTTGTTTGGGGAGTGCCTTTTGGGATGGTCTTAACGGGAAGCCAAAAGGACACCATCTATTTTCAGGGTTCCATGTTTCTTTAGAGACAATCCGCCAAGCTGCCATGAAGACCTGGGTCTGAACCAGCGCCTTTTCGTCTCTTACCTGTAGTTGAACTTTACATGAGTCGCAGGCAAAATCCGGGCAATTGGAGGGTATGGGACAATCCCCTTTGCCAGGGCGGATATCCGCCTTGGTATTTCTAGCATGGTTTTGGGTAGACCATTTTGATAGGTGCTGATTGTGACTCACACGAGGTTTTGGTCAAGACTGGGAGGTCTCCTCCCAACCTATATGGAGTGGGCGAAACATGAATCGGAATCAGAACGTAATTTTTTGGAGCATCCCGGATTTGTGGGCCACGTAAATCAGTGGTCCGTGGTTCGTTTGCCAGGGACAAGTGGGACACGTTTTCAATGTCCATGTCCTCCTGTGAGAAGAAGTAATTTGATCATGCAATGCCATATTAGTTCTCGAGTTGCCTGCCGCAAATGGTAGCTGGAACACGGGGCAGTATGTGATATGCGAAGCAGATTCAGTATTCAGCAACCTGTATCTGAGTCATTGTGTGCGTGGTCGAGCCAGAACCCGACCCAGCTGTCGAGCGGTACCCGCTGTTCACATTGTTGTTTGGTGGGAGGGTCTCCTTTGGGGGCAAACAGCGCACTCCTATCCCTGCAGCCCGACCAACATCCTCGCAGCAAGAATTCAGAGAATGCCCTTGACGCTCACACACCTGTTTAAAGATGAGCCAGCTTACCCTTTGCAACTTGTTGGACTTGACACCAAACGCCAGCAAGATTATAGAACGCTTCAGAAGTCCAGGGCCCATGACTTGGTTTTCATGCAGCTAAGCCGTGAGATCAATTTTGGAGCCCGGGGCTCCATTGCTCGCTCGCCGATGAGGCGCACCTGAGCGGCATCTTCCGGCTGAGAAAGCTGGACGCAGGCCAAAGCATATCGAGTTAGGGATTTTAAACGCTGGAGCCACAGCTCAGTGGTTCAAAGCCAAGCTTTTGACCTTTTGGTTTGGAACACGGTTTGGGCAACCGTATTTAGTCAAGGTCCGAAAAGGTGATCACCTTTTATTTCTGGGTCCCCGGCGCACCGCTTTATCCCCTTCGAATTCTGATGTCCACAAGGTCCCTGATCAAAATTCATGACCATGTCTGCGAAAGGACTGCCGCGCCTTGAATCGAACTTGGAGCAAACTGAGCAAACCAATGAATCATCTTGGTCCGCGGAAAGGGTTCTTTGCCACAATTGTGTGAGTTGTGGGTTTGGATTGGCACGATGCTGAACTCGTCGATGTCATGCTCCTTGCAACTCAGTTGCAACTCAGTCGTTTGTTTTGAGACTCTATGTGGATATTTTGAAAGAGACGGTTCCTTCTTGGAGGTGAGCCACCGAACGCCGGGGCCCAGAACCGTTGTCTAGATGTTCTACGGGGCAGACATTGACGCGGCCAGGTGACTCCTTCATCACGGCCAGCCGAGACCGCACGATGAAGGCGCGTTGAGAACCAACTGCAGGATTATCTTTATGTGTGCCATGGTCAAAAGACCCCTGCAATTGGTGTTGACAGGGATGGTCATCAACCTGGTAGTACAAGCCTTAACAGCCGTGACAATGATTGCTCAGGGAACCATGACCATGGGCCAAACACACGGATTCTTGATCATGGCACATGTATCTCTATTTATTTTGCATAACGTACGCGAAATGTGGAACAGAACCAGGCAGGCAAATGTGGAGGTGGTGCTTTGAAATGCCTTACGAACCTTTGGTTCTTGTTTGAAGCCGTCAAACCAACCGAACTCACTCCTTGTAGGCTGTGACCACCTGACTTTTCCGACTCCCGATGCCAAGTACCGCTGGCTTCTTCTTTTTTTTGGTGGGCCCCGGTAGGAATCGCACAACTTGGGGGGGTTTGCGCCCGGCCGGGCACACGGATGGCTCTGCATAAATCTCGACGCTTGTTGTGTCTTAGGGTCTGGGTCTGGACGCCAAGTCCGTCGGATCTGTCCAAGAACTTCCAACGGGATCTCTTTGAGGTTGCGAGACGCTCAAGGTCAAAACACCAGTTTCCCTCGTCCCAGAAGGCAAGTTCGCATTGCAACACGTCTATCTGGGTCTCTGGTTTGGCCTTATCGTTGGGGGCAGCAACTTCGCGGGTGTTGGGAGTGGTGCAGGTAGCCCTTGGTGGTTTGCACTCGTGGTTTGGGGAACCCCTGGTTCTATGCGGTAAATGGAAAACCCCTCCTTAACCACCAATCCAAGCCCGCAGATGGAAGCGGTTTTCTTTCCGCGATTTCAGGTGTGGCTTTCATCCACCTGGCAGGCCTCGCAGGGCCGAACAGCGAGCTCATGCCTTTTGTTGGTTTTGTTTGAGGGTACCCATGGGGTGGTATTGACTGTTTCTGGGAGTTGTCAAAGTGAGAAGTTGTGGTTGCACCTTGGACTTCGGGGGATGACTTTGATGGCAAAATCATGGAGTATGAGGCGGAAGCGAGCTTGAGAGGCTAGATTTGGGACACCAGTTGACATGACTTTACCCGTTAATATAGACCATAGTGTCAGACTCAGCGCAACGGACCACTCAGCCCAAGGCACAAAGTATGACAAATCTTCCGTTCCAAACTGCATTTTGCTCAACAAAGTGATGCAGGCGGCACTCAGGCGGGTTTGGGATGCAAGCCACGGTCCCTGTTAAAGCATTCAACCGGAATTTGCGGCCCATTAGCTCCAGATGGGGTGATTGGGAGACTGCGGCCTTTTTGCAATTGATGGATAGCCCTTAGATCCATTTGCCTGAAATATGAACTGGATACCAAGGAAGAAACAGCGATGGGTTAAGAGTCGGTCGCAAACCCAAACTGGCTTTTCTTTTCTATTCGCTATGTTTAGGAAACTGTTCCGCAAAACCACTTGTGGTCCCAGAGAAACTTTGGTTGGAATCCCCACAGCGCTCATTCAAAAAGGCTTCGTGCCAAGCCGATCTCATGAGCCCAGCATCAAATGGGTGTTTCCTAAATCCAGGGACTCAGGACAACTGAAGGACACCTGAAGAACGCAGCCCCATCCTTTTGGGTTTCCCTAACACATACCTAGATGGCTGTTGATAGAAGGGCAAGCCCTTCAACTGTTGTTGTAAATCATGTTTATGAACGGTCCCCAATCGAAAACCACATCCACATGGGCAACATTCTCGCGGCAGCTTTCTTTTCTTTCCAAAGGAACACGAAGAAAAACCCAGCAGAACCGGCAACCTTGTTTCAGGTTGGTGAATGATTTGTTGTTGATTTCTGATGAATCACCAGCCTGAACTGGATAGTATCTGGATAGTCTCAAATCGGGGTCCTCGAGGATGTCCTGAGTCTCTTTTGGCCAGTTCACCCCCGCGTTGTAATTTACCCGAATGACTGACTTGTGTTGTTGGGAATCTTCACCCGACTGGCACCACTGGTGTTCTTCTGGTGAACTGCCAGATAGCCGGTATTTGTCCCAAAAGGAAGCCAAAAAGGGATGATGGGTACGTGTTTCGCTGCTCCGAACCCACTATTTGACACCTGGGTTAAGGCATCTCTGGGATGGCACACTTTTTGACCTGGTACGGCCAGAAGACGTGGGAATGGTGGGAATGCCATGCCGTCTTTGGGCAAAGGTTTTGGGCTTGAGGCGCGAAGGACCTTGGCGCCGCCCCACTACGACGGGGTCTCCGACGTGGCGGTGGCTGTGAAAAAGGGCTGCTTCTTCTCCGCGAGCCGCGATAGGCGGAGCTGGGGCTCGCCTCGGGTTCGGTTTGAGGGGGACGGAGGGACGGGGGGACGGGGGGGGGGCCTTGTGTCCGCGTTGGGACCCGGTGAAGGCGCCCAAGAAGGCCCAACAGGGAGCGAGAGGGCAAAGTAAGGCCGAATAATTATGCTTTGGGGGTAGAGGTCATCTCAGGATGCTATATGATGCTATGAAGGCAGTATATTTCTCCAGAAGTGGTACACAACCTCCAGACCTCCCCTTGTCCTTTCTTGGCTTACGTAGGCGAGCCAGGGAGGGGGAGGTCAATAGCGGCCTGTAACACAGGTGCGGCAAGCAGCAGGTTCAGCTCGGGTTAGCCGTTCAACCTGTGTCTTGAATTGGGGTGGGTCTTGTAGTTTTCAGGGTTCGGACCTTTGTGACTGTCGACCCGAATTTGTCAACCTTGCCGATTTCTTGAGGGATGTTTCCCTCACTGTTATCCGGATTCCGTTCAAAACGGATTGCCATTTCCGGCCCAAATCGACCAGGGACCATTTGAGCCTGGGGCAGTCCCCAAGTTCCGGCGAATGCAGAAGGCCAGGCAAGGCACTGGCAAAGGTGGAATCTGTGAAAGAATCCCTGGCATCCGCCTGACCAGGAGAAACCAGCCCAAGGGTGCACAATGGCCATGGGTCCATATACGTTTGCTGCTGGCTCTCAGGAGGGACGGGATCCTCAAGCGCCACAGGTCTATCCGACGCTGGGACAGCAGAAGTCTGGAGAGCGACCTGCAGCTTCCGCATGCTCAAGGTTGGGCTCGAGCGCGATTTGTTCCGGGCCCCTAAAAGCAAGCTGGTTGAGGGGTCAACAAAATACTTCTGGGGGTGGCTTTTTTTACTTTAAACCAGAATCCAGCGGGTCATTTGCAGATGTCAATTTCTGGACCCAGTTGTTTGTTTGAGTGTCACCTTGTGCGTGTTGGAGGGCACGCACTTGCACTTGCACTAGACTGGTCGGATCCCTAGCTTCCTTGAAGCTGATATGGGAAATCAGGCCCTGGTTCTCCCATTTTGCGAAACCCAATTCGGCCATGAAACAACCAGATTGGACAAGGCTGCTTTTGAAAGGCCCCAATCGGAGTCCTTTTTGGGACATGCAAAGACTACAAATTGTTTGAACATGTTTAGAACACTTGCCCTCATGTGACCAAGCCCGCGGATGGGGGACGGTGGAGCGCAGATTCTATGGATTTGATCTTTCAAGGCAATGCACCGAGCACCATCTCTACTCCGCTGGTGCTCTTGTTCAAAGGCAACATCCATTTTTCAACTCACCCAACTATCTCAACTCATTTTGGCATTGCTGAGTTGCTCGTGTTGGGCGTTGTCCCCGGGACAACGCCCGTGGACATTGATGCAACTTGCCGCGTGGACATTGATGCAACTTGCCGCGTACAACGCAGCATTATGGATTTGCTCTGATTGCTTCCCTAGATTTGTTGCAAGTCGACTTGAACCAAGACAATGCATGTTTGCAGGATTTGCCTTCTGCAATATCTTGGGAATCATCCGCATCGTCCAACCCCGTTGAAAGCCGATGTTGTTTGTTGTGCGTGTGTGTGTTTTCTGAGCGTTTGCGCGTGTGCTCGTCAAAATGACGGCCCCTTCAAAATCAATTGGGTGCAGTTTGCTAATGTTGCATCCCTCTTGGTTCTAAGGGAAGCAGCATGGCCTTCACTGAGGACCCTAGTTCCTGGAAAGCGTTTCGTTTGATCACAGGTGCCCTCCCCTGTAATTCGAGGGGTTCCCTACTCTTTCTTTTTTTTGATTACCCGTAGACCTACACCGATGGGTTCGCCCTTGGGAAATGAAACGCGCGTGGTTTAAGCCTGCGCAAAGATGGGAACCCTGCTAAACCCTGGCTAAACAATCGGGTGTCAAGCCTGGCATCAGGCAACCCCTTGGTCCACCATTCAAAGCACTCAAACATGTTTCTACCCAACCACAAACAAGGGGTTCCAATGACCAAAAAGGTTTCAAAAAGGTTCCCGTAAAACGTTCCACCCCCCCACTAAACTCTTGAGCAACCTCCTTTTGGTTCCAATGCGTTTTCCCCAACCATGGGTTTGATCATCTTTCGGGAACAGCCTCCTTGTTCGTTGCCTTTAAAGGGCCAAGCTGTTCCTCAGTCCACCTTCGCAGACCTTGCTAGGCGACTGGCTCACCGCGCTGGCGCTCTCGGTGTCGGAGGAGGTCCTTTTTAGCGGTGGAAAGGCCGGGATGGGGGCGAGTGTCGTTTTTCACCCCAGAGATTCTTATCAATCCAAGCAGGGATGGAGATTCCAGCCTTCCAGGGGCAGGTTTTGATAAGAGATTGATTCCTTTTCCATTCGATTCAACACCTGCCACTGTGGGAAGAAAGTGGGGGAGTTGGCGCGGACATTTTCGTAGGCCCCCGTTGTTTTTCTTAACCCCACATCTCAAGTAGGTAATCAGATGGGTACCCGGACCCTCAACTGTCCAACCCCAAAATGGGTTTCCCCAAGATTCTGGTTTGTGGATTCCCTTTTTGCTGGGTTTGAGTGGTCTATGCCTTTGGCATGATCCAAGTGACTGAGCGGGACGGCACCCGCGAGGGCTGGATGGATTCGAATCGCAGGACTCCATCATCAAGGTCTGGGACTGCGGCCTGCCGGGGCTCCGGGCTCCGGGCGGGAAGGTTGCGCCGGGAAGGTGGGGGTCAAGGGGTCCCTTTTTGGCGGCCCTTGTGAAGGGCTTAATGGCCCCGATAACTCCCCCACGCACTGCCCATACAAAAAGGAGATTCACCCCAGAATTGGGTTGCAATATCCAATTTTTGAGTTGGATTTTGAGGGTCCAGGTAGATGGATACACTGGTTGCATTTTAGCCTTTGCCAGTTTCCTGGTGTACCAGCAACCAAGGAGCTTTTCGGGAGATTTTGAACAGCACATTTTCATGGCTTTTCCATGTCCCTTGGTGGAACCTCCAACAGCGGTAGCTTTACTGGAAACCAGTCAATTGCAACTTTTGAAGGGGAAATCCATTCAGCCCAGCCTTTGGACAGAATTCAATGTGAGGTTTTTGTTTTGGGGCGAGTTGGATAGGGAATGTGAACCCTGGTCAAGACGCGGTTCATATCCATGCGTTCGATACGGGGCTCCTCAGTTCCCTTCCTAAAGCGACTTGGATGTTTTCACGAGTATGTCATCAGAGTGGGAACAAACATACCTCATGCCAAGAGCACTGAAGACTGGGTGCAAATTAGTGGCTTTGAAAAGCAGCATCCATCCTCGTTCGGTGCCTTTTGAGATAGAATAAAGCATCATGTGGGACGCCATGCGCTATTTAGCACCCCAAGTGGCAATGTCTTTTTGCAGCCTGTATGAATCAGTTGAAGGACTTGAACAGATGATGGATTTACCATCCTTTGAATGCAACCGGCAGACCTATTTGGGTGTGAAACTTCATTGGGGACCCTCTAGTGGACGTCATTATTTCTCTTTTATGTTGTCCATCAACATGTTTTGGAGGTGTTTCCAATGAACTGTCTGCCATTTGAGGAACTAGCCATGCCGCAGGGGTTGGCCAAGATTCCAACTTCAACGTGGGTTACCCCGAAATCATGGTTGGCGGATTCCCTTTTTTTTCGAGGGTAGTTGGAGGGTTTCAGTGGGCCATACCTTCTTTACCGACGCGGACACATGGATCCTCTGGGTGTGGTCCCTGGCTCCGGGTCTTCGAAGCCGAGGCGATGCAAGGACGTGTTGCAGGGCCATCGCGGCCCCATATCCGACCTGGCGGGGGGAGGGGGGGGCAGGGGGGAATTTGGGATCCCGGTTCAAAGGGGAGAGGAAAAGAGGGACTCTGCCAATTTGCGTGGGGAATTCGGTTCACCAAAAAAAACTTAAGGGTAAGGCAGCTTGATGCGCATGCTGAAAGGGGTTTGGGGTCATCTAAGCAGAAATGAGTCTTGGCCGCCAAGAGGAAAGGGCTTGAACTGCTTTCCGGGAAAAACTTAACTATGAAACCGCCTCTTCTGTACGAGCAAAATGCGTTGTGTTGGAGCCCAAATTCTGCTCGTATTTTGGCAGATTGGGCTTGCGTTTGCGGCAATTGCGAGTTTTCACAAAGAAAGCAGTGATCTGCAACAAATCCTGCATGGGCACATGTTTTAGGGTTTTGGCCACACGCTACATAATACGGAGCAGAACGTGTTTTTCTTGGTAGGCGTTTCTCAGAGGCCCCAGGTTCCCCGTGAACCAACTCCGAACGAACTCCGAACAAGCTCCGAACGAACTCCGAACGAACTCCGAACGAACTCCGAACAAACTCCGAACGAACTCCGAACGAACTCCGAACGAACTCCGAACGAACTCCGAACGAACTCCGAGCGAACTCCGAACGAACTCCGGACAAACTCCGGACGAACTCCGAACAAACTCCGAACGAACTCCGGGCGAACTCGGAACAAACTCCGAACAAGCGAACAAGCTCCGAGCGAACTTTGGCATTGTTCCCGAGCCAACTCCGAACACACTTTGGCCATAAGTATGTTTTTGAGCCCAGGTATTTTGGTGGCCAAGCTGTTTTTTTTTGCTTTTTCGGGCTTACCAAAAGGGGCCAAGTGATTACAGGGGCCAGTTTCAACAAGTGGCCTGGGAAGGTGTTTTTTGAGGCAAACAAACATGTTCTCAGGCCACTTGTTGAAATTAGTTCTTTTGGTCACTTGATTTTCCTGTTATGTATGTTTCGGGCTGGATTTACTTCCCGGACAAGCGCCAAACAAACTTTGGCCATATTTTTCTTTGGGGGAGCTGATTTTGGTGTGTCGGCCTTAAGTTTGAGTTTTTTCGGCTTTGTTATTTTGTTTTATTGCTCGTTTTTTTTTTTTTTTTCAGGCTGTGATTTTTGCTTATTGTTTTTTTTCGGGGCTTAATTCTTGCCCCGGACGAACTCCGAATCTGCTGCGTATTATGTAGCGTGTGGCCAAAACCCTAAAACATGTGCCCATGCAGGATTTGTTGCAGATCACTGCTTTCTTTGTGAAAACTCGCAATTGCCGCAAACGCAAGCCCAATCTGCCAAAATACGAGCAGAATTTGGGCTCCAACACAACGCATTTTGCTGCGGACAGAAGAGGCAAGAGATTCCCGAAAACAGTTCAAGCCCTTTCCTCTTGGCGGCCAAGACTCATTTCTGTTTAGATGACCCCAAACCCCTTTCAGCAGGAGCGTCAAGCTGTCTTACCCCTAAGGCTTAGCGCGCAGAAACGGCGCGGTCCCCTGGGAAGCAAGCAAATTGATTCTTGATTCGAGGAAACTGGCATCAATAGTACACTTTGAGATTTGCTTCAAAATCTGGGCTTTTCTTTTTTTGGTTTTGGCAAACCCTTAAGTTTGAGTAAAAAACCCTTATTCTTTTTTAGCACCTTAAAACACCCAAATCCCGAACGAACTGACCTGACCCATGAAATTTGGCAGACTCAGCTGTTCAAAGCCAATGATTTGATCTTTTGGTTTCCAGTTCGGTTGCCATATTTAGTCAAGGTCCCAAAAGATAAACCTTTTATGTCTGGGTTGTTAAGGGGCAATTGAGAAGAGGATGCTTCTTGTTTGTCAGCTGTTTCCAAAGGGCACGATGGCCTTCAGATAATCATTGCACAAGTCTACAAGAGCTCCTGGACCCGTTTGGGTGACCCTCCTTGCACCTGCAGAAACTTGCACCTTTAGAATAATCCCTAGCCAGTAATCATAAACGGGGGGGGGGTCCCCCCAATAGAACAAATCCTCAGGAGAAGCATGTTCTTCATTTGGGGGGGGGGGGGGGAATTTTGGGAGTGAAGAACTGGGTGCTACGACGCTTTCGAACTGCAGGGATCACCGGAAAAACCGTCCAGGGTACACTTTCAAGGGGGCCTAATCCTAGTTTAGAATTGGTGTAGTATTCCAAGTTCCAGGGATTTGGGCTTTGGAAAAGCATTTTGAGAGTTCATCCGTGCACAAGTTTATTGGAGACGGTCACAACCAGGGTGACTCATGTCACGTTCGGATTGCTCCCCGTTGATGGGGAAACTGAGTTTGAGGTGGAGTCCTGTTGGCACGGTCCTTCCAGATTAATCCGAAGCTAGCATTTGCAACGGTTCGGGGTAAGAACAGGGAGACATTAAGCAGGCCCCCCGCCCGCTCCCCAGCCCTGTGAAAGTTCTAAGAACGATTTTGAGAACCCTTGAGAACGATTTGCAGGTTCTACAAACCTCTAGGTGTGCGGGCCTCCCCTTTATAGGTGTGCGGGCCTTTGATTTCCTTGGTCTGCTGCTTTTTGTTTGCCAGCTGACGATCGACACTCACCTCTTCTCGGCTTCCCACGACCGCACGGCCCGGAGCCCTGATTGGCATTCGCCTGGGCATAGCGAGCTTTGACTGTGGATGGACAGAATCCATTTCGCACCACCTAAGAAACCATATTGTTTGTTGGTATTTCCATGGAGAATCATCACTTCAGGGTTTTTTAGAGGTTTGACCTGGATTTCGCCCATCCACAGTATGGCACAGATTGGCAGGCTTGAGTTTTTCACCAGGTTGATTGCGCGTCCAGCTGTTTGTTGAGTAGAAGGAACTTCAGGGGATTTGATGATACACATTTGTGGATCGAGAGAGAGAAAGCACTTTTTTGTTGGGTGTGTGTGCTCCACTTTAACGCGAGTCTCGTGTGCCAAAAGCGACCGGCCAACCAGGTGCGGGTGTGGAAGATCGATCAGTTCGAGCCACTTGCCAGAATGGTGAATCGATAGTTTGAAGTAGCTTGATTCGATCCTTACTTGCAAGCCATTAATTTGGTGGCGATAAATCTATGCAACCATTTAGTCAAACAAGACTTATAATTTGGATTTGGAGTTCGGTGCGGGACCAGGACCCATGTTTTGTTTTTCCACATTTAGATAACTGACAAGCCCAACATGTTGGGTCCACGGATAGGGGGGGGTTAGCCGGGAATTTGACAGGCCTACATCTTCTGCTTGCTCGCGTATTTCTTCACAGCTTCAGCCAAGAAACCAAATCGCGTGAAGAAGATCGCGCTCGGTGTTCAACAAATCAAATTCAATGGCCAGCGATCAGGCCGCAATGAAATCTCAAACACGACAGCCGCAGTGGGATCGCCTGTGAGAGCCTGTGAAGCCACTACCAGCAAACTGTCTAAATACCAGGGATCAATTAGCCAGTAGTCTTGCAGATAAGATGAAATGCAGGGTTGCCCAGCCAAGCGCAGCAGCAATATGAAGCATATGCATGCGAATGCCCTGCATGAGCCCGGCGGACTGCGTGAGAACTCTACAATACGAGAAAGCAGTTCACAACTCACGGAAACATCCCCCCTCCCACTCCCCCCCCACGCCAACGAGAAAGGAAAGCCGGAAAAGGCAACAGTGGCGCATAATCAAGATGTTGATCACTGAAAAAGAAACAAACATGTGATTTTCCCGGCTAACCCCCCCGTTGACGCAACATGTTGTTCATGGGGTCTTAAACGGCGATCTGCGAGATTAAAGGATGTCACTTCCATGGGATTGGCCCGAACCTTCATTTCGAGCAATCCAGTCATCGTGTTGGAAGGATGGCTCAAAGAATTGACAGCCTGGCCGCCAGATTGAATCCATCAACGAACCCAATATGTGAGGGGCAGGGTTTAGGGACTTGCGTTTGCTCACGGGGCATGTCTGCGCGCTTTCCTCAAGCAATTTGTTTTTGCACTCTTGCTGAATGTTCGGCTGCCACTGCGACCAACTGTCAGCGCTACAGCTGCATCCTTTTCATGAAACATGCTTTGTGTTCCTTTTTGTTCGGCTCTTCAGCTTTTTGAGACTTGAATTGCCACTCGCACTATTTTTAGATGTGGCACACTCATGTGGTATGACGCCACATTTGCTGGTATTCAATGGTTCGCAGTGTTTGGTACTCTTCTGCGGATAATATGATCTACGGTGTGCCATCTGCGCTTGTGTTCCCCGCAGGTACTATCAATGTGGCATTTTGGTGTTGTCGTGTTCGAGAAGGCTGCTTACGTACAACGTGAAGCCTCGCTTGAAGGCTTAGCACCTTTCCCTGTGTGCGATTGCCGCATAAAGTACGTGTTGTGTTGCCACTGTGGACGCAATCCTGCACCACTTTGCAATCATGTAAAACCATAGTTGTTGATATTTGCAGGGGAATCTTCGTTCCAGGGTTTCTTAGGTGGTGCAGGAGTTCGTCAGGATTGACAACAAGTGGGTTGTATTCGCTGCTTGATTCGCACCGGTGCAGAGCGATTGCTTGCAGTGCTCCAAACCTACTCACAGTTGCTCCGTCGGACTGTACGATCTTACTCTCCTACACTTATACAGATTTTATAAACGTTCGTCTGGTGACGCATGCCGGAGCTTTGTGGGCGAAATCCAACAGCACGCCTGTTTGCCTTTGCTAACGACGTGAAGTCACAAGCTGTTAAGTCATGCTTAACCCTGCGGCCAGTGCTCTCCAAATCCGGCTAGGTTCCAAACAAAGCTTGTCCCCAAACTGTCTGGCTGGCTTGTGAGCTGACCGAAATGAGGAGATGCAAGGAGCATATTGGCGCGAGCAACTGGAGCTTCGCAAGATGTCCCAATCAGCCGAATATTCACGGCGAGGATTTGTGTCTCTGCGAGGGAAGCAACCCAAAGTGGAGCTGAGGTGAGCCGAACCGCGCGGGTTCGGTGCAGAGCGGATGTCCGCGCTGATGTTCGAGCCTCAGCCCGCGCATGGAGATGGAGCAGAGAGAAAGGATTTGCGGGTTTCCTCGCTTTTTTCAACTAGAGCATAGCATGCTGTTGGACAAGAAATCCGCCTCCATTTTTTCTCTCTTCCAGCTCCCCAGATGTGAGAGACCGAGAGAGAGGGAGAGAGCAGGAAAGAGAGCGGGCCATATCTTCATCCTTTCATTCCCAAATCCACCTGTTAGAGATGAAGGAAAACGCCAGGTACAGTATGCAGATATGTCAAACATGCCAAGCATTAATTATTTGTATCATTGTGTATCTATGTCTATATGTTTATCCTTTCATGCTTTGCCTCTCATTCCTTCACTTTCCAAGCTTCCCAAACATCATCATGATGGTCACCCTCATCCAATTGATTACAGAGGTAAATGGTGAGTGATAGGACAGATAGTGAGAATGGTAGAGGCCAAGGACAAGGCATGAATCATGCAATAATGCATGTATGATACGCTGTAGCCAAATTGCATTTTTTGCGCTCCGTCTAAGTTTTCTTCGGTAAGATCTTGAGTTCCAAGAAATTGGAAGGGACATGTCTCTCACAGATCATCTTGTTCTATTCTTATTATGGTATATCCTGCAGGAGTTCACGATAGACACGGGACCAGCAGAACTAACAATGAGTTCCATTCCTTTAGCAGCTGTAGTTGGCGTGTTTTGTTGAGGGTACCCTTTCTGATTGGTTTGAATGGAAACCAGCAACTCCACTTTTGGGTCCCGCCATTTTGCCACACACACAAAAGTTTAATTTTACACTCTTAAGTAATCTAAGAATGACACAAGTAGCTTGATTCAATGAATTATTTGTGGGTAGGAGGGTCCCCCTCCCAAAAATGCCCAACCCTCTCATGACCTATGCTTTCTGGGAAGAAGAGTCTGGTGAGGCTATGTTTATTTGGGGAAGCTCAAGGGGGAGGCTAGGATCCCGGGGTGGATTCCCCACAAACGCTAAGCATCCCTTCCAAACGGGGATGATATCCTTTTTCATGCGTACAAAGCGACCCTGAAAGTTCCCTCTTGTCCATCCGGCTGACAATCTCGTGGTGGCCAATTATCCGGTAGATAGGACGTCAGACCGCAATGAGCCTTTCATTAAGAGGTGATCTGGGGAAGGCCGGCGGTTCTGGAGAAGTGCTTTTCCCGTGCTAGGTGCCAATGCTCCAATGCTCCCGGCTGAAAGCGTATGCCGCGCAATGGCGGACAATGCCTCGCGGTTCATTTGTCGCCGTGCGAGCTGGTTGCCTTGTCGCTTGTAAATGTATCATGCCCCACAGGGTTGCTCTTGCCACAGCCGAAACCGCCTACGGGCAAGTCATATTGGAAATACCACCTCTTTGTCACTTGTCAGCTGCCAATTGCTTAGGGGGCAAGACCCAATGCTTGTGTTCGTTAGCATTGTGCACTCACCAAGCTTTTCTACAAGGGCTGGGGTCGGATCAACCCTCAAGGGTCCGCATGGGCCAATGCCGTATCCGGAGCTTTTCGCGAAAATGCAGATTCGCGGACCGCTGGTGATTGGACCTGCATTCAGATGATGTTTCTTGCTTGCTGATCAGACCGCTGTATACAACTGATGAGCTTTGCATGGTTATCTCCATGAAAGCCCCTGTTGAATTCATGGCTGGCCTCCTGAGGAACAGCTTGCCACACGAAAACTTGCTGATGGACTCACACTTTTTTGATTTCTGGCCATGTCCGAGCTGTGTCAAGGCTCAAATGGGAGAGTAAGTTCAAGAGGCCGCCATGTTCCGGTCACTCCGAATTGCGGCTTTGCCAGTCCTCGTGCTTGGCGATGGGCTGAAGCTTCTCTTCATGGACCCTCGGCGCAAAGAACCGGAGGGCCGAGATGGGTTGCAAAATGGTGGGGGGGGGGGGGGCGAGGGGGGGGGAGCCGCTGGAGTCTGGAGTTAACCGTTTTGGGGATAGTCGCCAAGCAAGCCCATGCACGCTTTTGGGGCTAACTGCCAGGGCGATTGTTTGCAGACCTCTTGACTTGGACATAATGGAAAACAGAGGCCTGAAGTTTGGGCTTGGCGCCAGAAGTAGGCATGTGATCGTTGTACCGCCCCACTTTCTGCTGCCAGCGCTCGCATGTTGCCTTTTAGCTATCTATGCCAACAGGAAACCGGTTGCCATTCCGAGCTTGTTTGGATGGGGAAGAGGAAACTTGCTGGTGCTCAGCAGGGAATGACCCAGGCTGTTGGGAATGAACCAAGGGGTCATTCCCACATTCCCTGCCGAGAAGCGGCAAGGCAAAGCCGTTGAATCTCCAAGCCGCCCTTCACTGCCAGGCCGACATTGGCCACAGCCGGAACCACGCGGATCAGCTCACGAACCCTTGGCCCATGGGGAAGTGCGCCTATGAGGGGGCCTTCAGCCTGTATGAAGGCTGGACGATTTCTTTCATGTGGATCCCAACTACCATTAAAGTAGGGAACCAGCTGTTCCCCTTTTGGTTTTTGAAAGGGTGGTTCCCTTGGTTGCCTATCACACAGGTATATTGAAGCACTGAGATGGTCAAAACTCCGTTTTGCCACGGTCAACGCGGCACTGCTGAAACCGGGCAACGTGTGATAAAGATTGACACAGGGTGGCTTTCAGTTTCCCCTTGTACTAAGTTCCAGCAATGTGCTTGTGCCCATCTTGGGGCCCCCAACAAGCCTTGCAGGCATGGAAGACTTCGTGGTGAATCGGGGCGAGAAGCCCACCGCCGCGGTGATCGCGCCCTGGCTAGCAATTCCGACTTCTTTCGAATGGGGAGTCTGTCATTGGGGGGGGGCTGAGCCGCGCTAAGCCGCTGAACCGCGCGTGGTCGCCCTCGCTTCCGGTCTAGATTCTCGAGAAATCAGGAAAATGCAAGATTGGAAAAACGAAAAACATGTAAACGCCGGTTTCGGGTGTTTTTGCGTGTTTTCCCTCGTGCTTTGCAGGCCCTTTTCGGGCTTTCTTTCTTCCAGGTTCTTGCGTTTTCGCGCTCTGCTTTTTCCTTTTTTTCGTGGTTTTTGCGTTTTCGCAGTTTCGGCGGTTTCGCGGTTTTCCGTTTTCACGTTTTCGTGTTTTCGTGCTTCCACATGCGCGCATGTGCATACATGTATGTATGTGTCTGTGTGTGTTACTATATTTGCGACGTGACCCCCTGGCCCGCATCTAGCTTGTATTTACATCACACAATATGATCCCGCCCAGGATTGTTGCCATTCTGTCCGGGAGCCCCTATTATGTGACTGTCGAATGACCCTGCCACTATACGGCCAGCTGGGCGGAGTTTTGGTTGGGGCCAGGTTTTCTGGAGAAGGCAATGGTCTGTGAATTATGTTGATATGAATATTGTACATATATATATATATATACACATTAGTGGATTGATATTTATTGATTAATTATTAGGATTTGGATTATGAGTTTAAGGACAACTTGGGACATATATTATTTAGGCATTTCATTAGATGGGGTCTTGTAGTTTAGACATGTAAAGTAACGTACTTGTTTGTTGAGTTATGCATGTTGTGAATAATACAATTCAAGCTATATATTGTTTTAAGGGCAGAGTTATGTATTGATGATTTTTATGGGCAGTGTTGATGAGGTGATATACTGTTTATGTATTTGCTTTAGAATTTAGTTCTATTAGTGAGTCCGTGTGTGAGGGGTAGACTGGTTTGGTTTGAACGTTGAGACTCTCTAAAAGGGGCAAGCCGTGGTGTAGTTGCAGCAAGGATGTTGTGGCCAAGAATAGAACAATCCAGGGTTGCGGCTGCAGCGGCGTGGCCGATGTCCAGCTGCGTTTGACGGGGCTCGAATCCCGCTGGGCCGCGCGGATTTTGTTGCCCCATCTTCTTTCAAGGGGCTCATTGGGCAGCCGATGGGCCTCCAAAGTTCCGCTTCAACTGACTTCGCAGACACAAGGTGTCCGCAGTAACCCTCACTTCCTGAGTTCCTGGACTTGGTCTTCTTTTTTGGGAAGGCCATTTCAGTGGGAAATAAGCAGTTCGGGCACTTTTTTGGGCCATCCACTCGGGACGTGAGAACCTTTCGCGCCCAGATTGGCGACGTCGCCTACAGCGGTGGGGACGCGGAGGTGTGCAACGCCACGCGGGACGCCTTCCAGAGGCATTTGCACGGACAGGTTCCAGTGGCCGCTTGGAGCGAAGCTGTGAGAAATTTTCATGCTTCCATTTGCTTAAGAAAATGTTCATTTTTTCCCTGTTGCTTTTGAAGGAAACCTATCCCTACTGGAAATATGTTTATTTTTGGTCAAGCAAATGGAAGCATGGGGTTCCTCCCATAGTATCATATGTCTGCAGGTTGAAACACAAACTGGAATGATGTTTTGTGTACGCGTGCATGGTTGGGTTGGGCCAAGATTTGGGCTGTGACAATCAAAGCACGGGTAGATTAAGGTTTGAGATAGTACCAACCAGACATAGGTGCGGATATCTCGCACGGCCAAAACGGGCTTTGAATGGGGTTGAGGTAATCAGGGTTCTTACCTTTTGGTTTTTTGTGGGTCTCCCATGGCCGCATGCTGCAATGGTAGCTGGAAGCACTGGGGCCCATGTTATCTATGTGTTCTTTCGTTGGTCAATCAGGATATCGACCTTCTAGACTGTTGAAACTTGCGGGGATTCTTTTGAATGAGTCTGTAGTGAGGCTATATCTTGTTTCCCCAAGTGCTGATAGCTTTGGGGTCTCTGCCCAAGCTCCGGGGTGGTTCGGAGCAGTTCCGCGCTGTGGTTGTGAAGGGCTCTGGAGGAAGCTGTTGGCGATTCCTGCCCCCAAAACACCCACATTTATGCAAAAAGGGCAGCTTACCAAAACTACCTATCCAGCTTAATAGGCGGTTCTCATGGATCTAATGGCGCTTTGATGCTTGAGAGCTCAGCCCCGAGGACAAGGTGTTTCCCATCATGGGAAACCACGACATCCACTACCTTGGCTGCTCCAAGGGCGAGGTGCGGCTTGGATGCGCTCTCTCTCTCTCTCTCTCTTTTTCTGGGGGCCGGGCAGCCAGCCGGTCGAAGGGGTTTATCCTCACAGCCAGCCTCAGTTGAACAAACTGCGATCCTTGCGTCGGATTTTTAGGGGCAGCGATGTTTGCCCTTCCGGCCGTCATGACCATTTCTCTACCCCCTTGCTTTGTTGGCTCAACATTCTCAAATGGTGCAAGTGAACCAACCACAAACCACAAAAGCCCGGCAAGTTGCGGTCAATCGCAGGGTTCCCCGGGGTTCCTGTGCTGCATTCGGGCGAATGCCTAAGGCTGACTCCGTTTTCGCCCTGCTACTACGGCACTGCCCACGTCTCGGTGGCTTCCAGGTACAACATGAGCTTCGCGCCGCTGGGCTGAAGCCTTACCCGCGCTCGACTTGGACGGTACCTCAGGTGACTCAGGAAAGTAGGTTTGGTGAAGTGAAGTCACCAGATTTGTAGGGCAAGTACCACTAAAACCCTCACTGGGGATCAGTTCCCTTTTGATTTGCAAAGGTAGGTTTCCGACGCTGTGTGAAGACTACCTTTTTGGAGCAGTTTGAAAGGAGCCTAGCAAGGCACGTATCCGAATTTTGAATCGTGACCTCAGATCATGCCCGCTTTCTTTGGTGACCATGTGGAGGTGTCCTTTTCTGGACACTCTCCATACTCCATACAATTTGCCCTTTGGTGTTGGTTTCAGTTTGGTGGGGTTGGCTCTAGTTGAGGAGCACCTCGGCAACCTGTGACTTCTTTTTGCAATTTCCTTTTGAAACTGGCCGAACCCATCTGAACACCAGCCTTTTTGTAAAGGGGCATCCATGTTGGGTCAGTTTACTTGAAAATAGATAGATTCAATCGGCGAGTTCCCCAATATCTAGACACATTTGCATACCATGTGTTTCACCCTTCTTCATACCTGAATCTCATCACGGTGGCATATCCCTTGTTTTTTTTGTTGCAATCGGCATTTGCTCTTGTCATTTTGCTTTTGGCTGGGCCACCGCATGGGTCATTGCACATACAACTGTGCTCCGCGGATACAACCATGCTCCACGCACACGATGCACGACTGTGCTCCACGCAAACGACTGTGCTCCACGCAAACGACAGTGCTTTACGCATAAGAACGTGCTCCACGCGTGCGACCGTGCTCCACGCATACGACTCCGACATTGATCCACACGTATGACCGCGCTCCACGCATACGGCTTTGCTCCGTGCATACAACCGTGCTGCTCGCATCCACGCATACGAGCGCGATACGAGCTCCACGCATGAGCGTGTTCCAGACACAGCGGGCTCCATGCATACTAATGTGCTCCATGAATGTGACTGTGCTCCAGGCATACGACTGTGCCTCCACGGATACGACCATGCCAAGCGCATACAATGATTTTCTGCGCTCCACGCAACGCTAACGACCGTGCTCCAAGAATACAACCGTGCTCCACGCATTCCATGCTCCACGCATACGACGGTGCTCCGCACATACGATCAAGGATGCCTCCCGTGTCGATTGACCACCAGCTAAGGGTTGAACTTTCCAAACCACAGCTTTACACTACAAACCAATCTACTTGGACCTTGGTATGAAAACCATGCAACATAGCATGAAGAAGGGCTAGCTATGGCGAATGGGTAACTTGCCCTCCCACTAGGGACCGATGTGTTTTTTCCAACAAGACAAATCATTCTTACTTTCCTAGCTCAAGACGTATTTTCCCTATTAAATCTTCTCTGAATCACATCCGCATTAAAGTTCACTCGGATGTAAAAAGGGATTGGACAAGTTTATGGACCATTGGCCTAATTTGGACTCATTGCGTGCTTGCAGTTTTGCGAATGAAAGCAGCTGCAGCTGCCATCCTTTTAAACTTGAGCGGGTTACCTGCCGCAGTGACGTGGCTTAGACACACTTGCCTGCTTTGTGGTGTGTTCAGACACTAAACCGTAGTGGCTTGCCAAGACATACCACCTGCTTTATGCGCGTTCACACTTGGAGACCAACTAGGTCCCCCAGTAGTGCCCTTTCCCAAAACTGGAGGACCTAGCCAACCCATTTGCACAGTGCCCTGGCCTCACATCTTTTTCAGGCAATGGCGGCAGAACTGGATGGCCGCCTACCCCGGCCTGAAGACGCAGGCGCCTGCTTTTCAGGAACAAACAAATGGGGGGGGGGTGTGCCATGGACACTTGCAAGAGAAAAGATCCCTCAAGACCGACATCCTTGGACCCCACAAATCGCTTCCGTCCCACTCCCTATAGCGAAAAACTGAATGCTCTTGGTCATCGTTCGAATCTTCTGGAAGTGAAGCCAACAGGAAGTTATTTCGCCAGAACTCAGGGGTTTGCTAGGAAGGCCAAGTTGTTTGCCAGTTTCTGCAGTTTGTGTGAAGCGAATGTAGTTGATCGAAAATTATTGATTTGTGATGGTGCAACCCATTGTGGCGTTGTTTTTTTTACCCTCGTATTGATCCCGTCCGTGAGGTTCTACTTAGATTTGGGGTCAACATCATGCAGGCCACGTTTTTTTTTTTGCCAGATGCAAAGCCGGAGTTCCAGCTGAGATGCAGGTCCCTGGTTGCGGATCCCTTGATTCAGCTGGGTGAAGTAATTAGCAGATCTCTGAGAAGGGTTGGACAGGGCCCTTGTTCACATTTCTCTTTCCCCCTCAACCCGCATGATTTACACATCCCCGCTGTCAAGGTATCAAAGGCTTCTTGCAAAAGGCATGCACATTGGAGAAGCACCGCTGGATGTTTGAGAACATGAGATTGGGGATGTGCCTTTAGGCGAGGGTCAAGAAATAAGGCAAAGCTGGGCCGGGCTGTCCAAAAATGAAGGGTGGGCCAATCTCAATCCAGAATTCCTAGAGAGCGACTACACAGGAGGCTCCTTTCCTCATCTAAGGGAAGAATGAGGCAAAGGCCTTCTCACGCAAATTGCGCGAGCTAGAAACCACAGCTCCTCGCTTTCCTGTGCTGATCCCAAATTGCAAGCCGCCTCAGTGAACCGCCACTTGAAACTGCCAGTGATCCTGGTTTCGTGCGGCATTTGGACTTGCCTAATTTGTTGCAGGATGTTGCAGGCCACAGTCGGAGTGTAACCTGGGGCCTCCCAACCGTTGTTTTTTTTGGTGGAACTCTGAGATGTGGGCCAAGAAACGTAATCTAATCGGATTAGGCAAACCTCTATTTAATTATTTTCAGGTTTAGGTGAAACATAATCTGAGCCTTTTATGTTTGCCGGCCAAGAAACGGGCCAATGGCTGTCCTCAAAGGCCCCTTTGGCCAGCCATGTCAGGTCACGCTGCCCAAACCCCAGGACGGGGGGAGGGACAGGCGCCAGCAAGCCTCGCCTTTTCGGAACGCCCGGCCCGAATTTTGTCTTCAAACGAACCGCCAGAATTGTGTTTTCCTTTACACCTCCCTTCAAAACCAGGGCAGCTATAATCACTCGCACATGGACAACTTTCTTTGTAAAAGCCTGGAGTGCAGGCATCCTGGCAGACTGCTAGATGTTTGCTACAGCTTCGAAGATTAATCATTAAGCTCCAGATTGGAGGCTTCAAACAAAAGCACTGGCAACATCATTCTGAGGTGTAGATACTGCAATGGCAATGGGCCCAGTTTTGGCCGGCTTGGCACACGCGCCCTTTCTTGTGTGGGTTTTGGAGGTATGGAGTCAAATACGGCGCTATAAATTCATACGAGTCCATACGAGTCCATACCTGCAAAACCAATATCTGAACACGGTGTTTATAAGAGGGTCACAAACGACTACCTCCAGGGGAACATGGGTACAATCTTCAGTTGGGTAAAAATAGATGGCACAGTTCCCGTTCTGGTTTAGTCATCCCCGTTACTTACCCACATCAAGGTTGATCAAAAGGTCCTTTACAAGAGATGATTGGGGAAAACCACAAGAAATGATGATATATGTCCCTCATGGGCAAAGTGACCCATGGTCATTTGGGGGAAGGAAGATTGATCAACCACAGAAAGGGGATGGTGCCATCTACGGGCTATCGCGCAGGATCGGTCATCACCAAAGCCCCTTGGCATTCGGCTTCAGATATTTGCAAAAATCATGGGCTGAGCCCACAAGGTGGCTCCGGTTTCAAGCAAAGCAGAAAGGATAGTTTGAAAAGGGCACACCCGCAGGTAAAGCACAACAAAGAATGGGGTGAGGTGTTGAGCCTCCACACCTACTTGCTGTGTGAGATCTAAAAAATGATCCGTTTCATTCGTGACCCGGAGCCTCACTTGCAGAACCACCTCACAGGAAGTGCATCTACATGCGCTAAGTATCGCCAAGTGGGATATACCTTATGGCTCCAGGATAAAATCATGCCCAGCCTGTCTAGAATTATCTTCTTGATTCAGCTAGTCTGGGGCGGTGATATGTTTCACACTTGCAAGTCTTTATCCTATTTTTTCTGGGTAAACATTGATCGTGCCGCACCTGCCGCACAAATTTAACCAGACATTTGCCCAAGGTTTTCACCGTACTGTGTGTTTTGTTACACTGTCTGGGTGGGGGGGGAGATAGGACAGTGGTGGTCGCAGTTTGCTCACGGAGCGCCCTGGCAAGTCCTCAAGTTTTCGGGGAAGGTGGGCAATCGAAACCCGATGTGAAGGTCCCAGCCAGAATCGGTGGAATGCGCCCTGATTCTTCACCATTGGGTTTGGGTCCACAAGAAGTACCGATCGGTTTTGATGACTCAGGTGGATCTCTCCAATGCGCTACAATCTCAACCTCGACAAGACGAGCAGCGCGGCTTGGCCCAACCTGGAGGCGAAGTCCTTTCTCGGGGCACAGACCTCCTTAGGAAATCCATCTAGCATGGGTTTGTCTTCAAATCGGGCCCCTTGCTGTTGAGGACAACCGGAGCCCTCCAAGTTGCACATGTTGGGCAATGCACGAAGCATCCACACAAAGCGAGTCACTCCCTTTGGGGCACAAGCAGAGTGGGCGGCAAGCCAGAATAGAGAAAGAGAGAGAGAGAGAGGGGGAGAGCAAGAAGGAAGAGCGAAACATCGTGCACATGAAAGTTGCCCGTGTCTATGTCGATATGGCTATAGATTCTAAAAGTCGACACCCTCAAAATGATTGGTGCACATGAGTTACTCGTTTCACGTTCGTTTGAGGGGGACACATATGGGAAAGCCACCATTTTGGGGGAGCCAAAGCTCATTTCGACATTCATGTTAAGATCTCTCTCCCTGAAAACTTCCTCCTTCAGGTTGGCGTCTGCTTTTTTGTTGGGGTAGTTTTGAGCTTGTTTCAACGGGAAACCAAAGGAAGCCCCACGAGTCTTAAGGTCTACATCATTGCCGGGCTCATCTCTGGCGTGTCCAAGACGAAGTGGAACAATGACACGCCGGCCGCCGCTCGGTTCTTTGTTACCAACTGATGCAACAAAGAACCAGACCGACCAGGGCCTTTTGTTAAAGGAGAACCCAAAAGGCGGTTGTTCCAACAATGGGTCCTCAACATGCACATGTAGCAGAGGATTGGCATCTTGCACAGCGACTTTCCAATAATTTCTGCCAAACATGGGCGCTTTTATGGAGAACGCAGCGCACAGTACGAAACCCGCACCTTTGCGTTTGAGGCCCTCCATACTGTTTTCCAAGAACTCAATTAGCTTTCAATCACAGCGACCTCCCAAAAACACCGGGCGCCTCTTTGATTTAACCGGGAACAGACCCGAATGCCTCTTCCTTGGATCCCGAGTGTGTCCCTGTCGCTGCGGACCCATGGTCGCCTTCCTGATGGGCGGTGTTTTGGAAACTGGAGGGAAGTCACCCAGTTAATGAGTAAATCCCATTTGTTGTTCAGGTGCAACAAACACTAGCTTATACTGAGTAGCGCTCAGTTAGCATATGGACCCCCCCCATTTTGGCCCCATTTCCAGGTAAAGTGCCAACTGTGCTGTTTGGTTGGATATGCTAGCTGATTGCTAGTCAGACACTATCATGGGCCCCTAAGGGGGGGCTATGGAGAGGGGCCGTTATCCCTTGTGAACCCCTGAATCAGGCCTTCTGAAGGGCTTATTCATGGCTTATCCAGGGATAGCCGGGGAGCCCCAGGGGTCCATAACACATCAGTTGTAGGGACTGGGGATAGGCACGTCCAGACCCGTCCGGTGGATAGCACCCAGGTGGCCGTGGATGGCATGGGCGAAGAGGGCTTGGAGTGCCGGTTTCTCAAGGACTCCCTGGCAGAAGGCATCGAAATCGGAGCCGTGAAGTTTAGCAATCCACTGTCCAATTGCTGAAATTGTGGTTTTTTCTCCTTTGGGCAGGTTTCCAAAAAGGAATCTATGAGAGGAAATAAGCCATTGCTTTTGCAAGGGACTGAATGCAGGAGACGGGACGGTTCCCGCGTCAAAAGAGGAAGTTTCAGCAGGGCCAGAATTGTCAGGATAACCCAGGATGACAGTTTGACTGCAAATGCGGGTGGCAGGGGGAGGCTGGCAGGAAGTTGAAGGTGTTTGTGCTTGGCGAGGCACGGTTAACATGTCTTGGTATGAAAAGAGCCCAAATCTTGTCCCCGAATTGCTGCATCGTGCTATGGATCTTGATCTCAGCACGTGACGCTCGCGCGTCGCGGTGTGTTTTTGATCAGTAGTTTCAGATCACCGAAAGCCTTGGACTCTTTGAACACACCTTGGGGAAGCAACATGGCCGGGAAATTGGATGGGCCAATTTCGGGGAGCCCAACAAATCGCTGCCCAAGTGAATTTCAGTAATTGTATGGGAAGCATCGTACTGGGTCTGTGGTCACGTTTTGAGTTTTATGTTTTTTTTGGTCCCCTGGTTTGCTATCAAAGGGGGCCCGCGCATGCATCAAAGGAAAATCCTGCCACATCTGAAAGGAGCCCATATCTTAGAACGGGCTCTCAACATGGCGACCGCCCCAGCCAACAGGTGGGCGTTTCGAATTCTTTCAAGACACATGCAACTTCATGCAACGGGTCAAATGGACAGGCAAGCGCCTGGGGAAGACGGTCTTTGTGTATATGACCCACGACTTCGACAAGGCCTGCACAGATTTCAGCCTCATGAGCCAGCTGGATGTCGGTACCTCAGATGGTTTGTGTCAAAACGGAGACCGACGCCAAAACGGAGTCCATTTGCGTAAGAATATGTTGTACTTTGCCCTGTTGCCTAACCTTTGAAAGTAAAAGCTAAGGCTTTGAGCCGGCAATTTCACAGCCCCCCAAAGCAGCTTGACATTAAAGCAAAGCCACGAAACATTCAGCTTAAACAGAATCAGGGCCTCTGGTGGGATACCCTCTTTACGAGACTGTTTGGGCTCGGTTTGTTTAAAAGGACTCTAATTTAATAAATCGATGATTTGGAGACCACTTCAAACACATGAATTATTAATTGTTGCCCGGCAACCACCTTTTACCAGTGAAGACGCCAAAACAGTGGCAGAATCTTGAATTAGGAAACACACTTTCTCCCTGTTTACAAAAGCGGGTTCACCATTACCCTCAAAAGAGCGCACGCCCATTTGTCGCCATTGTTAAGTGCCCTAGAAGGGTCCGACTCCTCTTAAAAACACCTCTGGTTTCTTCACATAGCTCATGTTTGAAGGCCTGGGAGCTTGCGGGGGAACCCTTTCCCCTTTAAAGATTGCCAACCCCAGAGAGGGTTCAAAGCTTCTGGTTTGCAGGCGCCTTGCCCCTGAAAATGTGGCGCACACACACACAAACACATAGGCACACAGACACACACACACACACAGATACAGACACACACACACACAGGCACAGACACACAGACATAAAAACACACGCACACACACACAGACAGGTACAGACACAGACAGACACAGACACAGACAGGGACACACGCACACAGACACAGAGACACAGATGCACAGACGCGCGTGCACACAGACAAACCCAGACAAACACAGACACAGACACGCGCAGACAGACACACAGACACAGACAAAGACACAGACGCAGACGCGGACACAGACACAAAAACAGACACAGACACAGACGCAGACACAGACACAGACACAGACACACACAGACACACACAGACACACACACACAGACACACACACACACACAGGCACACACGCACACACAGGCGCACACAGACACACACACACACAGACACACACACAGGCACACACAGACACACACACACACACAGACACACACAGACACACACAGACACGCGCAGACACACACACAGACACACACAGACACACACAGACACACAGACACACACACACACAGACACACACACACACAGACGCACACACACACACAGACGCACACACTTATCTCGAGAGGCTTCACTAGCCGAGATGCAAAACGCAGTCAGTAAAAATGCTTGAATGCAAATGCAAATCAACAGGTCACAACATCGACACCGAACAGGAAGCAACAGCGACAAACAGAAACCGCAAAAAGAATCAGGAAAGAGGGTCAGGAAATAGGCAGGTACGCCGGATTGATCAGATCCGGTATCCACCGAAATGCCGTAGCTTCATTGGACTGGATAGGCAAATCGGCTCCAGTCCCCCTGCAATGTGGAATTTCCGTCCGTGCTCCAGGACGCTTCACACACACGGAGCCCCAACTGGGGCGACATCACTTGTGCAAGGCCCATTGAGTCTTGCAAGCATCAATTGTGCGAGAAAGTCTTGTGGCGATGACTGACCACACATACTTGGCTTTGGAATTGGTCTTAAGGGAACGGAGGAGTTCAATCTCTCCCTCAGTCCAAGGCTGCGAGGCTTCAGGTTCGGCCTCAGTAGAGGCATCAGTCCTGGTCGATGTGGTAGCTTCGCTTGGTCCACGAGCAGGTTTTGGATGCCGTAGATCGTGAGGAGGCCAAATCACGTGCGCGGCGAGCTCGTTTTTCGCCGGGAGAAGACGGAGGAGGGGTGGGCGGAGCCCAATGATCAGGGAATTGTTCGTCATGATCAGTGGGAAGGTGTTCATCTGGAGCATCAGGAGGTGGCTCAAAGAGGTCCTCGAGGGGGGCCAGGAGGGGTGTTGGTGGTGAGTTGGTCAGGTCCTCAATGGCGGGGTTGAACGTGGCCTCCGGTGCCAAATCAGGTTCGGCAGGCGGACTCTCAGGGAACTCGCGGATGGTGGCGATGCCTTGTTGGGCAATGCCAAGGATGAGTTCGAAGTCTTGGAGCAGCTGGCGTGCTGTGTTGGTATCCATGCTCGTAACGGATTTTGGTCAAACAGTCAAACAGCTGCGGCGCGAAAATCAGGTCAAATCTGTCAGGATGCAAAGGCAGAGAAGAAAACCAGTGTGGTTCCGCAAAGGACGGTTTTTCTTCTCTTTGTAAGGTGAAACCGTGTTGGAGGTGCAACCTCTTCAACATTGCAAGACCCTGACCTCGCTGAAACTCAGGAAAGGAAACTCGGTTGATCAGCGTGCGTCCGGAATAACATCCAGATTCCTTATGCATCAGTGGTGCGGCTGACTTGACGGAGAGCATGTTGTGCTTCTCATGCGAGGGGATGAAGGAGATGGTGCTGCTTGTGAGGTTCAGTCGGAACCCCAAGAAGTCCAGGGCGGCTTCTGTGTCCAGGAAGATGTCTCCTCCATAGAAGTGTTCGTCGCACAGTATGTTGGCTGCCGGAGTCGAGAGCCACCTGGGGGTTGCGATCACGAGTCTGTTGTCCACGTAGCGGAGTAGGAGAGTATCTTCAACGGAGCGAAGTCCCGATGTGATGTGAGTGTTGGTCCAACATTGTTCGGCGACCGCGATCACCATCAAACAGAGAGCTGGGGACGCGGGGGATCCCATCGGTGCCCCACGTGTTTGCCTGAATGAACGAAGGCCGACAGAGAAGATCTGCATGTCAAGGGTGGCCTGAATGATCTCGGGGATGTCGTCGAGCCACAGGGTGCGTTGTGTGGGTTTGTGTCGGCGACGGCGTCCGTTGTAGACGCGGGTGATGGCAGAGGTGTCAAGTGTGTCCACTGTGAGGTGTGTGGTAGAGGAGTGTGGTTGTCGTTGTCGGTACCAGGTTAGCAGTAGTCGCCAGGCGAGGAAGGGTGCAAGCATCGGTCTCGAGGGGCCAGGTGGAATGAGGCCCCGGAATTGTAAACTGGATCGAATGGCGGAAAGGCATGCCTGGTGGTGTGGTTCAGGCAGGTGTGTGGCTATGCGATGAAGGACATAGAGAGCGGCGGGTGGGAAGTCTCTGGTCCGTATGTAACGGATGGCATCAAATCGTCGTAGAGTGTTGCTGCCAAGATCGCCCAAAAATCGCCACAAATCCAGGCGGTTGTCCACGCGTTTGGCCAGGAAGGCCTGTTGTAGGGCGATGGGTAGTCGTAGTCGGCGGCGTTTTCGCCAGATGGTGGCGAAGCCCATGTGCCGGGATTGGGAGAAGTCCAATTGGCGTATGAAGCCCGTGCGTGGCCGGAAATGTTTCTCGATGAAGCCAAAATTGAGAGACGGTTGCAGTTCCTGGATGTAGAACTGTTCAGTGGCAAATAGGTCCGTTGCCGGAACGACAGTGTGAATGGGCACCGAGGTGTAGTGGTGGAAAAAGTCGAAATGTGCCCACCACCGGACTGCCAGTTCGGCATTGACCAGATGATGTCGCTGAACTTGGAGTAGTTTGCGAAGTTGGCTGCGGCCCCGTGCCATGAGGGAGGCGCGAGTGGCTCCGAGGTAGAAAAAGGCCTGCCACTTTGGATGGCTGGTGAATCTCAGATAAACCGCTGAAGGGACAAGCTGAGAAGAGAAATCGGAAGCAGGGTTGTCCAGGCCAAGTCGAGTAAGCAGGGCTTTCAGTCTGCCGGAACCACAGGAGAGATGGCAGACGTCAAGTAGCTGAAGCTGTGCGAGTAGCCAGGAGCAAGAATGACGTGCGGTGACGTCATCGGTTGGGAAGAACCGAAGAGTGAAACGGAGGACAGTGAGAAGTTGGCAGCAGTGGTGTTGCCAAAATTTGTGCTGCCTGGCTGTGCGTCGTTGTCGGTGTGCTGTTGAGAGTCACTGGTAGAAGTGACTCGCAGCGGCCAGGATGCGGCCCAAGGCCGATGACCCCAGTTTTGATAGGGTTCGCACCGGGATGCCCCATAGCACAGCGGCTCGTTCGAGTTGGGCTCTGGTGTCGGAGTCCAGTGTGGTTGCCCATTTTGCGCAGTCGTTGGACCAGCTTTTTAGGACTTGCTTGCTCTCTTTGCTGGTTTTCTGAGAGGTGATCCATCGCTGGACTTTGGTGTCGGAAATGTCGGGTGGGAAGTTGCTGGTGAGCCATTGGCAAACGTGGGGAGGTGGTTGGAGCAAGTCGCGGGGCTCCTTCCAAGTGGGTGGGGAGGGGAGGGGGGGAGGGGTCGGGGTGCCGCCGTGGGTGGAGGGGGCAGGAGGGTTGCCGCCGTGGGTGGGGGGAGCCGGGGGGGGTTGGGAGTCGTCTGAGTGGGCAGGGGTAGGCGGGGGATCCGTCCTGCGGTGATGTGTCAGGTGTAGTCAACCGTGGTCGGTCGCTTTATGCCGAAAGTCCAGGAGGGAGGCCTGAGATGGACGGGGGGAGGGGGGGGAAAGGGGTTGCCGCCGGGAGGGGGGGGGAGAGAGCCGCCAAAGGAGGGTGGACGAGGGCCGGGGTGTGGTGGGTAACGGGGAATAGGTTGGCCGTAGGTCTGACAGGGAGTCGGATGTGTAGCTGGCGGTGCCGATGCCGTGGAAGAGCATCCGTAGGAAGGCCCGGACAGGGCCCCGCACGGGTTCCCGGCCATGTTGTTGCCGTACACGATGCCATGATGATGGGATGCCGTGGGCGAAGGCTGCGGTGGTAAGTTTTGCCTTTGGAGCGCCGTAACCAAACCTCGAGGGGGTTGGAAAGCCATGAGAAAACACGGGGGAAAAGGAAATGTTCGAACCACAAGCTGGTGAGCGGAATCAAGCGGGTAAGGTCACAAGGTGAGAGAACGGTCGCGGAAAGGCAGAACAGCAAAGCAAAGAAAAAAGGCGATCAAACAGTGCACCAATTCTTTTCCTGGTTGGGTGGAAGATGGTACAGTTGCGCCCCGCTAAGCCGGGCGCTGCAGCGCGATGCCTCTCAGCATCGCAAAC